CATCATACGTTGGCCAAAAACTAGACAATACCGGAGGACTTTCCAGAAATGAATAAGTCAGTGGAATGGGTGCACAGTCAGCGACAAAAGGGAGGTGCCAGTAATCAGAAAGCACAGTCCAAAGTTGAGGAACCCACCAGTTCATCACGCTGTTTACGCCCAGCTCAGCTTGTTCGTCAGCGAGACCAAGACCGCAATCCGCTGAACTATCGCCTACTGGTGAGAAAATAGGCAACGGACTTGCTCCCAGCTGCACAAGTCGACGATAAAGCTTTTTTGCCACAATATTGAACTTCGGGTACGATGAATCACCCAGACCCAAAACAGCAAACCTTAGATTAGTTGAAAGTGCCCGACCGATTGGAAGATTTCGACTCATCAGGCGCCGCCAAAATTGGCACATGTTGTCCGGTGGCACTCCATATCCCGTTGTGGAGCACACAAAAACTATCGGATCACATTCTTTGGCCAATCGGTTCATTGGTGCATACGAATCCAAAGGACAGAGAGAAACCAGTAAATTCATACTCTGGTTCTTAGGTAATGAAGACACTGGGTTAGATTTTGTAGAAAATAAATAATAGGCTTGGGATACAAGGCGTTCTGCAACGGACCGACTTAAACCAGTTTGACTTCCATAAAGAACAACCAGACGTGGTGGTAGAGTCGAATGAGCGCCAGGCAAACCAATATTTTCAGGCCTTGCAAATCCATCACAAAACTCTACAGTCATCTGATCCTAGAAAGAAGTGCTGAAATGAACAAACACCGAAAACCATGGAGTTGAGACAAGTGAAGCTCCGCATAAAATGTAACTGCATGCGATACTTGATCTCATGAGGTATCACGTGAATGTGCTATGAAACTAAGATAGGTAATTCTCCAAATGAATTCAGTATGGTGCGGCTTCCGTGCAGCCGGGAGAAAACATTGCGAAAAGCAATCACAGGGTCGTCATTGACATCATCATCAACAGCGGAAAAAAGAACAACGGTGCTTCAGTGTCAAGCATCCCGGGGTATTCAGATAAGGTCTCACAATTAAGCCAAAAACAGAGGGGAGGAACCCTAGTGCATACGTACAAGCTGGGATTCTCTTGATCCTCTTATTAACACTGAACTAATTTGTATTACGGCGAAATCCTTCCGTATTCAGGGCATCCTGATGCAGTTAAATGCGAAACAAGTGGAGTTGTAGTACTCAGTGCTTCCTGAAAAAGCTGAGAAAAATAAAAATCTCACTTCATTCACTGTATGAGAAGCTGCTATTTTTATCATCGCTGATCAAGTAAGCACGTGCACATATTCGAATGCGTGAGACCAGGCGACACAATGACAGGATGAGAGAGGCCGAGAAAACTCTTGACCTGAGAGTGTAGTCATGTCCATTTTCACAAAATCACAACACTGTCTAACGGCAGCCCAGGGGGCAGTTGAATCGGCAACGACAACTACAAGTATGCACGCAGTAAAGGCACGGTGATGTTGTTCGTGTGTGCTCCGCCCTGAAAAGTATGCAAACTCATCGATTGTGAAGAGTTGCTTGTTTGTTCCATTTTGGAACAGAAGAAGTACCGCGACTGGTCCGTACATAACGATACTGGTTTCATTCTAGAGTAAATCGGATCGAGGCGCAGCTGCATTCGATCATCTGTCAGTCTGAATAGGAGAGAATGGGAAACAGTCACAAATGCAAACGAAAAGAAAGTTCTATTTCGCAGTGAAGAAAAGAAAGTTCTTCAGCAAGACTAGGACCCAGAGACCTTCGACTCGCCTGACAAGAAAGAGAGGTCACTGGTTTGACTTCTGTCGAAGGACTCTGCTTTTTTCGAGAAATACACTCATTTGCAAATCAATTTGGTTTTCACGAGAGACTCAACTGGATCTCTCGTTTATGATGTTCTACAGCTGAATGTGCTGCACACAGGCCGCCTAATGATTCAGTTGGCACGATATTCGAGATACCCGACCTAAAGCTGCCACCTTGACGTGGTGGTCGGG